CCATGAAGGATGCTCTCTAGCATGTCACAATAGGAAGCCTTCATCTACAGTCCTTGATGCTGGGGATGCCATGTCAATTATCACTTATGCTTTCTGGCCGGTCTCTTGTGCAGACACCTGCCAGTGAAAGCAAGCGCGCAGGCTATATTTGAACATTACTTTATTTCCCGAGCAGCTCACTCTGTGATTGTCGAAGGTGCTATTTCCAGCCGTGTTTAATTAATATGTGTCACATCAGATGTGAAAAGTACAGTCAGGGGCCTTTTATGCCATTTGACACATTGGCAATTATCCAGGGAAATTGTCATCATTTTTTACCTTCTTTCACAAATCATCAAAATTCAATGAATCATCCACAGCGATTCATTATAACTGATATAGATTTAAATGTAGCCTAGAGTCCTACAACTGAAGGCCCTTTCACACTAAACATGAAGCTAAAAAGCAAGACGATTCAGATTTGAATTATTAGCTTCTCATAAAAAGAACATTTTGGAGAAGCATGTTCAGCATTCGAATTTCAGCAATAGAAATAAAAATGAAATGTGACGTTTAAAGGGGTCATGACATGAGAAATAAAATTTGTCTTGATCTTTTAGAATATAAGAGGTCTTTGTACCATTAAAACATCCTGCAAGTTTCATAGCTTAAAGGGTTAGTTCACCCAAAAATGAAAATTCTGTCATTAATTACTCATTCTAAACCCGTAAGACCTTACCGTAAGACAAATTAAGATATTTTTTGATGAATTCTGAGAGCTCTCTGACCCTCCCATAGACAGCAATGTAATTACCACGATCAAGGTCCAGAAACATAGCAAGGAGATCGTTAAAATAACCCATGTGACATCAGGGGTTCAACCGTAATTTTACGAAGCTACGAGAATACTTTTTGTACGCAAAGAAAACAAAAATAACGACTTTATTCAACTTTTCGTCTCCGCGTCACCCTGGTGCCATTTTGAAGAGTATCCATTGAATGTAAACAGTGTATGCTATTCTGTGTCAGCTGCGTCAAGCGGACAAATTGTTGAATAAAGTCGTTATTTTTGTTTTCTTTGCGTACAAAAAGTATTCTCGTAGCTTCGTAAAATTACGGTTGAACCCCTGATGTCACATGGATTATTTTAACGATCTCCTTGCTATGTTTCTGGGCCTTGATCGTGGTAATTACATTGCTGTCTATGGGAGGGTCAGAGATCTCTCAGAATCCATCAAAAATATCTTCATTTGTGTTCCGAAGATGAACAACGGTCTTACGGGTTTAGAACGACATGAGGGTGAGTAATTAATGATAGAATTTTCATTTTTGGGTGAACTAACCCTTTAAACCGTCCTCATAATAAATAAGCATTTATTTAATCAAGCTCCAAAAATGGCTTGTTTGGATCTGAGGTGCGAGATAACATCACCCGGGCACAAACATGCCTCCAAACTGTCTCCAGAGCAAGACATTGACGAATAGTCATAGGCTAGCTTGTCTACACTGGATACAGTATACAGGTGCACATTCGCTTTCAGACAAATGGAGTGAAAGAACTTGCGCTTTGACGTGTTTGGTTTAAACAGCTCGTTCACATCTTTGTACAGATATCAGAAGGATCATGGCGTAAGGAACAAGTGGATAGCTTATTTTTAAATAGCATCCCGGATCATGTCAGAGGATTGATTGGAGCATGTTGTTTTGTAAATGAGGCACGGTGTCATGGAGAGTTCACAAAGAACCGTGTTGAAAGATGAAGCGGTACCAAATCTGACTGCAGCTGCATCAAAAATGGTAAGTAAATGCTTTGTCTGGAAATGACCATTTTATTTTGATCATGTTGTCAAAACACTCATGCAATAGTGAGGGGGCATTGATACGGTTTCCTATGCAATGACGTTAGCCAATCAAAACAGTGGCTGATTCCTGACAAGTCTTAAAGGACCCGTCCCTTAAAGGGGTAATGAACGGCCTCTGAGGTCCACTTACAATGTTATCAATATTTTTACATTAAAAAAACATATTTAGAAGTAATAAGCTGTTGTCTGTCCTGTTTTTAACCCCTCTCATCAGAACGCTCCGTTTGAATAGGCATGGCTGATTGTAGACTCGCTATGATTGGCTAATAGTTGTGTCTTTGACAGTCTACACCCTTCATAGATGGACGCTGCTGTGATTTAGATTAAAATGCATAAATACTCAGTTCATATTAAACAATCTGTTTAACAGACAAAGCAATAGTGACCACATAATGAAAACAGTTACTCACACTTGTGTTCAATCCAATATAGCCGGCACAGCATTGTCTTTTAGTTTCAATCTTTTTGAAAATCCTGCGTCGAATTGTGCCTTGTTTGTAAACTAATCTGCGGTAAAATGAAGTGAACAAAGGACCGAGTTCTTACTGATGTGGTCTGGAAAGTCCATTCACTCTTTTCTAACATTGGGATCAGAAGGAAGGCAACGCAAATACTGTCCCTGACACACAACTTGGCACTGCACAGCATCTTGTTTGCTTCAGAGCATCTTTATCATTTGGTTTCTGCGTAGACCTGCGCATTCGCCTCTCTCCACTGCATGCATGAATCGGTGGGCGGGGCTAAACAAGCAGTGATGTCGGTCTTCTTCTGCGGAGGCGGTGCTTATCCACACTATTACATCATAGAGTAGTACATTCCACAAGCTGTCCTTTTGACAGACTGCCTTCAATATAAGCTGTTTTTAGACTAACGAGAAAGTTTTGAGTTCTGAAACTTACAGGATGTTTTTATAGTGACCTCTTATATGTCAAAAGATCAAGGACATTTTGGTTTCTCCATTCATGACCCCTTTAAAACAGGTCGTTTTAGACAGAGGGTCAGAATGAGGGTTGAAAATGATAATTTCCCCACATATTTATTAGTTTTTTCTTTTTGTGCAAAAAAACTTTATTAACATTATAAGTAAACTTCAAGGAACATGTCATGACCCCTTTAACTGAAAGTTATTTGCGGGTATTTAATCAAAATCAACAGAACAGACACATAAACAAAGTGAGGTTAAATGCATAAAGTGTATGCATATTATTTAACACATACTTAATTACATGTTTGCATAATATTCAGTGTTTGTATTCCCCTAGAACAAAGGACCGAGTTCTTACTGATGTGGTCTGGAAAGTCCATTCACTCTTTTCTAACATTGGGATCAGAAGGAAGGCAACGCAAATACTGTCCCTGATGTTTTTATAGTGACCTCTTATATGTCAAAAGATCAAGGACATTTTGGTTTCTCCATTCATGACCCCTTTAAAACAGGTCGTTTTAGACAGAGGGTCAGAATGAGGGTTGAAAATGATAATTTCCCCACATATTTATTTCTTTTTTCTTTTTGTGCAAAAAAACTTTATTAACATTATAAGTAAACTTCAAGGAACATATAAAAAAAAATCCATGTCATGACCCCTTTAACTGAAAGTTATTTGCGGGTATTTAATCAAAGTCAACAGAACAGACACATAAACAAAGTGAGGTTAAATGCATAAAGTGTATGCATATTATTTAACACATACTTAATTACATGTTTGCATAATATTCAGTGTTTGTATTCCCCTATGCTTTTTTTTGATGAAAATTAAGTCAGGTTTTTTTTTCTGGTGGTGCTGCTATTAACTATTAGCACATATCTACTGAAATAACATCTACTAAATACACAAAGGTGTCTGACAACAACTGAGGTGTGACAGCTGTGTTCCTCTGATAAGAATTTTCCTCTTTCTAATTGATGTTAAAGCAATAAGCCACATGAGGCTGTGCATTACAGTGATTAATGTAAAGGGTGTTCTTTATGATGCAAAATTTTAAACTATACTTTTAAAATGGTTGCAACAAAAATGTGGTAAAACTACAATTCTGTCATTATTTACTCACCCTCATGACTTTTTCTCCTTTCATGGGATACAAAAAAATTTTTTTTGAAATGATTGAATAATGGAGTGCTTTTACAATGGGAATGAATTTGGGAAAAGCTTTGTACGGGAAAGCTGAGATTAGCATGTTACAATAGTCACAATGATTCAACATCACTGATCCCCTCAAAAAACAACAATATTGTTCTTGTGTGTGTTGTTACTGAACACAGCACAGCAGTTCAAATGGGAATATTTGGAGAATGACACTTGAGAGCTGCAGTGAAGGGCATGATCTGATGTTTTATGGTCTCATTCTGGAGAATGGCACTATAAACAGTCGTTTAGTGAAAAGAAGCTGCATAAGGATTCTTCAGAATTTCTCCTTAAGTGTTTCATGGAAATAATAACAGTAACTTATTTTACATAGAATGTGCACTTATAGGTTTAACAGCATTTTCTATTGTGGCTCATCAAAACTATGCATTTTACCAGTCTAGGAACACATACATATTTGCCTCTCAGATGCTGCACATTAAAAAGCACATTTTAGAAAGGTGTAATGTACATCCTTCCAGATTTTGTGCCTATACTGTATGAAACACTTCTTTGAAAAGTCTTTAAGCAATAAAGAATTAGTGACAGACTTCTGAACTTGGATGTACACTGAAGCACAAAATACACTTCCATACAAAATACATGCAAAAATCTCATAGTAGCCCACAGAAATCTCGGCGTATGTACTTAAAAACCCATTATTTTATCAGGGAGCTTCCATGGAAACGTAATTGGCACATGGTTCCTTTAACCAGCATCTACCACAGAATAACAGTGTATCTGTATTCCTACACCATTTCCATCTCAAATAATGTGTGAACACAAACACTTTCCTGCTATTGCGTGAATAGTCCGATTATAATTCACAAGTTTAAGTGCTTGAGCTTGACCAGAGCATATTTCTGGCTTTTACAGAAATTGCAACACAAGGATACTCATTTTCTTTTAAAAGTTACAGAGTTCAAAAGCTACTGCACAACCCAGCTCTTTCAAGTGGCAGTATTTTAAATGCCACATAACAATTTAACTCTATTGAACACATAAACACACTTACTGACAAATAGATGTGACACACCTGAGCTGTTGGTGGCCCCTCCAGCAGAGTGTTGCAAACCTCAGGTGCTGATGAAACGGGACTCACATATCACACATACAGCATTAGGAAGTATCGTAAAAGAAAATCAAGCACGACTTCAATATTCAGTCTCGTGTATATGCACACCCTCAAGATCAGCCCGCTAGTGAGACACGTTTTGTTGATAGAAATGCTTGTTTGTAGAAGCAGACAAGGTTCCACCTCCCCACTCAACAAGCCAACCTGCCCAAGGACTGGCTCTTAAAGAGACAGGCTTCCCTCAATACCACCATCTCACACAGCTCAAAGAACAATCCATCATGGTAGAGTGAGTACAAGATACAGTACAGACATCACATGTTTGTTTGTTTTTCTCAAACCCTCAGCCACTTTTTTGGTATTTCACCAATGCATGACAAGACTTGTTGTTTCAGACTGTTTTTCACAGATGGACACATCTGATTGAGAGTGCATTGTATGCATTTTGCCGTCTTGTTATCAGAGAAGCGCCATCTGGCAGAAACCCTTGCGAATGCTGTAGCGGTAATGGAAGGCTTTTTGCTGTTGCTGTAGCGACAGACAAGGCTCCTGATGTTGGGGGCTGATGTGCCCACACGTTCCTCTGCAGGCGATAGTGTGGAGAGGATCAGTTTTCAGCAGATTATCTCAAAAATATCAGGCCTGTGGAGCATTTGAAAACAGGCTTCTACATGTCCACACCACGGTGATGGGAGACTGCACTCGCACATATATGCACACACTTGCTCGCTGCCGTACAAATATATTACTATAAATGAGGGCGGATGTAAAGACAGACATGTAGCAACCACTGGCGTTTTCTCTTTAGAAAGCTGAATCACTACTACTATCGAAAGCAGAATGGGTAGACGGGTTTATTGGGCTCCTGAGGGCTTATGCTGATAGTCTGTGAGGAACAGATGAATAGGAAAGCACTCAAAGCTCATTTGTTTTGGTTGCTCGCCTCATGTTTATATTGAGATAATGGCATGCCCATTATTGCAGCCATTCAGCTTCTCGATTTTAAGCACACATTTGTATGTCTGTCCTGCTGTGGCCTGATTATGATGTTTGTGCTGCAAATGGCAGTGCATTAATTAGGGTGTTCAAATCTGCTGCTCTGTCGCGAGTGCTTGCTGCTCTAGCTTTACATCATTATCCACTGTAGTCGCAACAATTACGGCAATTGTGAAAATTGACTTTCATCATTTGAATATCACATGCAGTATCTGTTTTAACGTGTTCATCTCACGCTCTGAAAAACAAAGGTTCCAAAAGGTTTTTTTTTGTGATGCCACAAAAGAAGCTTTCAGTAAACAGTTCTTAAAAAATATTTTTTTTACTTAGTGTGAAAAACATTTTAATTACCTAAAGAACTTTTTACTTGTCAGACTTGTGTTCCCGTTTTGTTGTTTTCCTTCCCATGTGTTCCTTGTTTTCCCTCTTGTATAATTATGCCCTTATTTGTTCCTTCCTGTTTCCTGTTCCCATTAAGTTTATTGATTTAAAGCGTTTCCTTTTCTGAGTTGGTTGTCCGGTATTGAATGTTCGTCCTAGTGCTACGTGTGTGTCTGCCTGCCCTGTGTTACTCGAAGTTGAAGATTAAAGACTGTTTTGAGTTACTCCAGTGACTCCTCGTCTCCTCGTTCCACCACGGTAGCCGTAGCGTGACATTACTAGCATAAAGAAATGTTTGTGCTCTGGAAAGGTTTTATACTTGAAATGTTTTATTGGCATTGATACTTTCTACAGCCATAGAAACTTTCTATTGCACAAAAGGTTCTTTAAAGTGGAAAAAGTTTTTTTCACCCCGAACTTAGAGGGGAATCTAAGGAGGAGAAGACGATTGGTGCTAGTCCCTAGGCTCGCTCCAGTGTCGGCTCCAGCCCCAGAGCTCACTCCAGTGTCGGCTCCAGCCCCAGAGCTCGCTCCAGTGTCAGCTCCAGCCCCAGAGCTCGCTCCAGTGTCGGCTCCAGCCCCAGAGCTCACTCCAGTGTCAGCTCCAGCCCCAGAGCTCGCTCCAGTGTCAGCTCCAGCCCCAGAGCTCGCTCCAGTGTCGGCTCCAGCCCCAGAGTCCGCTCCAGTGTCGGCTCCAGTCCCTGAGTTCGCTCCAGTGCCAGCTCCTCGAAAGCGCCTTGCTGTGCCTGCTCCTCCAGAGCACCCTCCAGTGCCAGCTCCTCGTAAGGGCTTCCCAGTCCCCCAATCCAGCCCAGAGTGGGCTCCTGCTCCCGAGTTTAGCCCACGTAGGGCTCCTGTTCCCGAGTTTAGACCACGGAGGGCTCCTGTTCCCGAGTTTAGCCCACGGAGGGCTCCTGTTCCCGAGTTTAGCCCAGTGAGGGCTCCTGTCCCCGAGATTAGCCCAGTGAGGGCTCCTGTCCCCGAGATTAGCCCAGTGAGGGCTCCTATCCCCGAGTTTATCCCAGTGAGGGCTCCTGTCCCCGAGTTTAGCCCAGAGAAGGCTCCAGTCCCCGAGTTCAGCCCAGAGAAGGCTCAAATCCCCAAGTGTAGCACAGAAAGTGCTCTAGTTCCTATGTCCATCCCAAGGAGAGCTCCAGTCCCCAAGTCAAGCCCAGGGAGGGCCACTGTTCCCGAGTTAGGCCTAAGGAGGGCCTCAAAAGACGGCATTCTCCCCAAGTATTTTTTGGGGGGGGGTAGTATGGGCCCATCCATAGTGGTCGGGCCGAGTGGCGAGGCCGTCCGGCCATGGCGTCCTGAGTTCCCAGTTCCGCCATGGCTCCCCGAACTCTCTGCTCCGCCATGGCTTCCTAGTCTGCCTGTTCCGCCATGGCCTCCTGAGTTCCTTGTTCCACCATGGCCTCCCGAGTTCCCTGATCTGCCATGGCTTCCTGAGTTCCCTACTCCGCCATGGCCTCCTAGTCTGACTGATCTGCCATGGCCTCCTAGTCTGCCTGCTCCGCTATGGCTCCACGAGCTCCCTGCTCCGCCATGGCCTCCTAGTCTGCCTGCTCCGCCATGGTGTCCCGAACTGCCTGCTCCGCCATGGGTCCCGGAATGGGTACCGCCCTGGAGGCCTGCCGTCCTAAGTAGGCCTGTCCTGAGTGGCCTCCAGAGCGCCTTCGGGGAGGGGGGAGTAATGTCAGACTTGTGTTCCCGTTTTGTTGTTTTCCTTCCCATGTGTTCCTTGTTTTCCCTCTTGTATCATTATGCCCTTATTTGGTCCTTCCTGTTTCCTGTTCCTATTATGTTTCTTGATCCCAGGTGTTTCTCGTCCTCCCCTCATCATGTCGTGTATTTAATGTGTATCCTTTTCTGAGTTGGTTGTCCGGTATTGAATGTTCGTCCTAGTGCTACGTGTGTGTCTGCCTGCCCTGTGTTACCCGAAGTTGAAGATTAAAGACTGTGTTTTGAGTTACTCCAGTGTCTCCTCATTCCACCACAGTAGCCGTAGCATGACATTACTAGTATAAAGAAATGTTTGTGCTCTGGAAAGGTTTTATACTTTTAAAAATAAAGGCGTTTTATTGGAATTGATACTTTCTACAGCCATAGAAACTTTCTATTGCACAAAAAGTTCTTTTAAAAAAAGGTTCTGGAAAAAGGCTTTCACACTAAGAAAAAAAAGGCTACTCCAAAAAATGGCTTGCTCAGGTGAATAGAACAAATTACCATCACCTAAAGAGGTAAACAATTATATTTCAGTGCTTTTAAATTCACCAAATACTTTGTGTTTGTTTGCAAAACTCTTGCGTTCACTCACAAAAGTATTGCATTTCCCCAAGAAACTTAGCATTCATTCTTAAAGTGTCCCTATTATGGATTTTTGAAAATTACCTTTCATGCAGTGTGTCAAACAACTCCAAGTGAATGAAAACATCCTGCAAAGTTTTAAATCACCGTGTATAAAGTTATTGTCTCTCAAAAGAAAGAGTCGACTCTGAATCACTGAAACGAGTCGTTTTTAAAACGAATCCCAAACTGTTTCATCTTGACGTCTACTTGAAGCATTTGCATATTGTCCGCCCACTTGTTGGTCTCTTCGCGTTCGTCTGAATGAAAATAGGTAAAAATCATAGACTGTGGTAAAAATAGCGGTTTCCCCGGTAACGCTGTACACAAAGCAGCACTGCGCTCACAAACGCTTCTTTATCAGGCATTTCAGGCAGGATGACCTTGGACCACTCACAGCAGATTAGCGTCACGCAAAGAAGGGGTTTGGAAAAGTTAATCATTGAGCGAATCATTTGGGAGTCGTTGAGCAAGTAAGGTAAAAATGAATGCATATTATAAGACAATCAAAATGTTTTTTGACCTTGCATCCATTTCAAACTGTTGTTGGAGACTTCCAAAACCAAAATAGGAACCTTTCATTACCCATAATAGGGGCACTTTAAAAATAAAAGTTATTTATTGGCATCAGTGGTTCCATGAAGAACCTTCATTATTCATGGAGCATTTTCTTTGCACAAAAGGTTCTTTAGAATGTGTTCTTTAGAATAGTAAAATGTTCTTAGTAATAAGAAAAAATTAACTGAAAAGTTATAAAATTTACTGAAAGGTTCTTTGAAGAACCCAAAATAAATCTTCTATGACATGACCAGAAAACCCCCTTTTGGAACCTTTATTTTTAAGAGTGTTTCCTCTCAGGACTTTTGTAAAGGAAAAAATATATTTCAGTGCTTTTGTGAACAAATCCAAAGTTTCAAGGGGTTTCGATCTATCTATCTATGTTTCACTTACAGTGTCATATCATCTATTTTTTTTAGATAGATAATCTTTTTCTCTCTCTATTCATTTGGTTATTTCTTTTACTTTCACTATGTTACTTTGTAAATTTTAAAATATGTATTTACACAGTAATAGCATTCAGAACAGAATCACAGTTCAAGATTTCAGGACTCTTCGTGCCAATTATTTACCAAAATATTTGCCCATCTCCCCCTCCTCGTTGTTGTTCTGAATTGTCGTCATCATATGTCATGTTATCATCTTACTGTAAAACTTCCATTTACAAGCAACAAACACGCCACCACTTCCTCCTCCATCCCCCAACATAAAACACTTCAGAAATCCAAACTGTTCTTTTTCCTAGTTTGTCCAGAGTAATTTCAGCAAGAGTTAGATGGGAACTGATAGTCATGGTTTTTGTTTTGCAAAAGAACAGAGAATATAAAAACCTACAGCACTGATATCAGCAT